CTTGACTGTGGCATCCTGGGATTCGTGCTCAGGCACGTGGCTGGGGTTCTGTGATAAAACCAGCAGCCCCGGATCTGTCTCCCAGTAGCCTTTCAGATGGGTCTTTAAAAAAAAGGCACAGCTCTGAGAGATGCCAGATTAAATTGGAGGGCAAACTCTGTGCCTAAAACAAAGACTGTGGGAACTGCTTTCTTCTGTAGCTGGGGAACCAAAGTGTTTTCCTTTAAAATAGACCTAAGTCGGAATGGATACTTTGATCAGCACATCTGGGTCTTCACGCCCTTGGCTGACAACTTTCCTCTTGCTCAATGCCATAGGAGAGATTGAGTCCCAGGCAACGAGGAAGCCGGGACAAGGCCCTGGCCCAGGAGTTGGTGGGTGAGAGGAGCCTTGAGGAGGCTGGGGAAGTCAGGGGGGCATTTTCAGTAAGTATGAACCAAGTTTATTAAAGATGTGCGTTCTTTTCCTGAAAGCATCCACTCCTGCAGCGAGAGGGGGCTGCTATCTGGCCCTCTGAGGCCACTCCACTGGCCTTGTCATAGGGCCAGTCTATAGAAGGCTCATGAGATCCCTTACTTCTGCTTTGGGAGCCACAGACTCTGCTTGAGCTGAGGTGACAGTAACAGCCCCCAAATGCTGCAGGGCCATTCCAGACCCCAACATATTGCTGGCTATGTCTGTCTATTAGATGACCCAAATTTAAGGAAATGGTCTCTGAATTTTCAACTCCCTTTAAGAGAGTGTATTGTTTTTCCTTTGAGAAATTTTTCTTTTGCTTGCTTTGAGGTTTTAAAATTGTAGCATAGGTCGGATGTGGTGGCTCACGTCTGGTAATACCAGCACTTTGGGATGCCGAGGTGAGAGAATTGCCTGAGCTCAGGGTTCCAGACCAGCCTGGTCAACATAGCAAGTCCTTGTCTCTACAAAAAGAAGAAGAAGAAAAAAATGTAAAATTGAAGCACAGAATAGTGGTTAAGAGTGTAGACTCACAGACTCAAAAGGACAAGCTTAATATCCCATATCTACCACTTACGAGTTGTGCTTTTGGGGCAAATCTCTTTCTTTCTCTGAATCTCAGTTTTGTCGTCTGCAAGAGGGGCCCATGCTCAGGGGTTGTTAGCTCTTCTCATCATGTAGCATAATGGGGATGTCTAAGAGTCTGTGCTGTGCAGGAAGAGCCAGGCACTCGGAGTGGCTCAGGGAGGAAGTGAGCAAGTCCTGGTCACAGAGAGGGGGACCCAAAGGCCTGGGGAGAGGAAAGAACAGAGAGGACATTTGCAGCATGGGAATCGCATGGGCCAAGGCTTAGGACCCTGGAGGCGGTGTCTGTTGGGGAGAGAGCAAGTGGGGGTCAGGGGCAGCTGAGCTGGGCCATGCTGGGTCTGGGACACAAGGACCAGATCCTCCAGGTCAGGGGCTTTCAATTTTTTAAACAGTTGCCCAAAGTTAAGAGATGCATGTTCTAGAATGACCCTGTCTGAACCCAATCGTATGGATATAACTGAAACCAGAAGGTCGCAAACATTGCCCTTACTATGCATGAAATGCTCCGTGTTCTATTTTTTTTAATTGCTGGTCTTGACCCTGTAAATTGATTTCAGGCTCCTTCCTGGGTCTCCTCCAGCAGGGAGCCCCTGCCGGTTCAGGCAGGGCAGGAGCAGGATGAGTTTGTGGACCACTCAGGGTCAGGGTGAGAGGACTTGAGAGGCTCAGCACCACGGAGACAGCGCTGGCTGGACAGGAGATGAGGCTTGCGTGAGCGCTGTCCAGGTGGGGGCATTGTGCTGGAGGTGGGGAGGTTTGATCCTGAATGTTGGTGACCCAGAAGAAAACTGCTGGGGTGGGTGTATACACACACACATCTGGGGTCATTCCCTATCACCCCCAGGACTCAGCTTGGAGTCCCTGGGTCAGAGGTGGGAAGGTAGCAGCTCTCTGCTCTCAGACCCGAAGTTCAAGCAGCCACAGATTTGTAAGAACCAGAAAAGGAAGGACTCAGGCACCAGCGGGTGGTGGACAAGTCTTTCCTAACAAGGGATGGGAGAAGTGCAGTGAGCTCTTCCCTCCAGAGCCCTGCGCAAATCACACCCCAGCAAACCCACTCCCAGGGCCAAGGTGGTACACAAGTCTGAGTCAGGGACAGGCCCCTGGGGGTCCTGTTATGCTTGAATTGTCAAGGTGTGTGTGCCCTGTGCTGGGGGTGTGCCACTCAGGCAAGAAGAGAGAGCTGGCGTTTGCCTTTGCAGACTCAGAGAAGATTCAACTGACTTCCCTACCTCCTTCTTGTCCCCTGGGGAAAGGCCACCTGGCTCTTGGTAGGCATGCTGAGCTCCTGGTCCCATTTAATCTTGCCACAAACCTGTAGGGTTGGCATTGTTGCTCTCTCTGTGTTGCAGGGGAGACCCTGAGGTTCAGAGAAGTAAAACCACCTGCCCAAGGGTGAATAGCCTTTAATTGGCAGATCCAGGATCCGAATCCAGGCCTGCTGCCTCCAGAACCTGGATTTTTTCCTCCAGCTCCCTGCCTGGTTCCCCTATTTCTGGCCAGGCCCCAGGCTTCCTGGCTGTATAGGAGGCACTTCCTTGGAGCTGCAGAGAAATGAGGGCTGGTGGGTGTGTCACCCCTGAAAACACCCTCCTGCAAAGGAGGGGGAGTGGGTTTAGCAGTGGTAGTCTGAGCTGCCCAGTTGGGACATCTGGCTTGCAGTTTGTGGGGGTGGGGAGGGGCACGGGAGCACTCAGAGACTGTAGAGGAAATAGCCCGGTCCTTGGGTGGGTCTGGGCCCTCCCAGATACCATGTGACAATCCTGTCTCTGGTTGACCCTGCTTCCCTCCTCCTTGGCCCCATACTCCATGAAGCTCACTGTCAGGGGTGCCCTGGGGTAGAAGGGCTGGTGCAAGGAACCCCAAGTCTGTCTGGGAGGGAGTGAGAATGGTTCCGCACTGGAGGAGACCCAGGAAGGAGCATTAAATCAATTTACATCCCCCCCACCTGCTCTGCACCATACCAACCCACATTCACACAGGCTCCTGATGCTCCCGTCTGGAAAACTCTCCCGGGAGCCAACCTTCAAATTTTCCCTGCCCCTGCTGCCCTCCTTCCTGCAGGACAGGACAGGCAGGTAGGGGGTAGTCTCATTCCTCTCCCAACCCTCCTCACCTACAGTCCCAACTCTGCCCTTCTTGAACCCTGGGAGCTCCTTGCAGCCACCACTAGGACCCACTCTCCACAGGCACATTTTCCTGGAGGGATCAAACCTGTTCCCTCCACAGAAAACACTAGAACCTCCTTGAAGCTCTCCTCCCTGTGCCCCAGGGCCTGTTCCAGCAAGGCCTGCAGAAAACACAGGGCTTAGAAAACGACCAGAAAAGCAACTCTAAGCTGTTCTAAGCTGGACACTTTAGGCCCCTCTGTGTGGGGAGATGTCCCCTGGCAGGGCTCTGCTCCTCTGGTCACTCTGAGTCAAAGTTCTATGGTCACTTTAAGTCACAGATGAGTCCTAGTTGTTCATATCTCCAGCCGTGTGTGACAGCCAAAACTCAGAACTTGAATCATACCGAGATGGTTCCCCATGTCACCCGGGACCTGTGTGAGAGTTGAGGTCGCTCTCTGTTTTCCACCCAGACCCTTCCTCATCCTTCCCCACTGGTCAACCTAGGTGGGGGCAGGAAATGAGGAATGGCATGGTAACAGAAAAGTCCTGCCTTGTCAGGTGTTGAAGAGGTGTCCTTGGGCTCTGGGTGCTTGAAGTATTGGCACGGAGTCCCTTGGGGCACTTTCATGACTGCTCAGGGCCCTCACTGGTGTGTGCTGATGAAGCCCCTATGGCTCTCACTCCGCCCGCAGCCCCCAGGAATTGGGTCTCATGCCATCCTCCTCCCGGGTTTCATGCCGGTCTGCTCCCAGCCCTTTGCCCAGCTGCATGGGCCCATCTAAACAGAAGCTCACAGCCAGCTCAGTGCCTGGCCACATTGTCCCATGGGGGACACATTGCCTTGTCAGAATGTAGGACAAAGCATGTTGCAACCGTAGTTGCCACTGAGCATGAGATAGACAGCAGCCACTGTGCCCTCCCTCAGAGGACATACCTCAAGCTCAGTAAGGGTCCCACTAAACCCCTCCAAGCCTGGGGTGAGAAGCAGGCATACAGGGCAGGCTGGGGAGCCCTGCAGCGCTCTCCAAGCCGCCTCTTCACCCACCCTCTCCCACCCCTGTGGCCTCCATGTGATCCTGGACCATGCAGCCACTTGTCAGTCACCTGATGTGAACATTTGTGGCATCCACGAGGGGTCTGACACACCTGTCTTTAGCATCTGATGTCTACTGTGCCATGAACACCTCCTGATGCTTTTGATGGCCGCTTCCCCTCCTGGGTACTGCCTCTTCTTCCTTAGCACTGTCAAACTGACCCAGGTTCAAAGCCTGGCCCCATCACTCGTGAACTTTGTGTCTTTGGGCCTCTAAGACCCTCTGGTTTTTGGTCTACCAAATGGACTTATAACTACCGCATAGGATTGTAGTGGTGTTTGATTTACATAGAACTTGTGTCACACCCAGCCAGTGTAAGTTATCTGTACATTTTCTTTCACTTTTGTCCTTGTACTCCTACTTCCAGGATGCCTTCCAGATCCTCCAGGCCACCAACATCCTCCCTGCCCACACCCAGACAGACTCAGTGGTTCTCCACAACAGCTCTCCCACCCCAGGAGAGCTGCTCCATATCAGCCTCCCCTATTAGGCCGGGTCGGGAATGCTGCCACGGCAGGGGCCTGTGACCTAACTGGCACCCCTTAAAGTTTTGTGGGAGGCACTAACAAATGAGAGCTGAAGAGAATTTATGCACTTGGAAATTGCTGGGATTCTATCTGTAGCACTGAGACTTAGCTGGAGCCACCTCTAGTCGACAGCCAACTGGGGGCTGCATTCCCACAGCCTACACCCAGAAGGGGCCTCTTGGAGGAACGGGTCCAGGAGGTGGGGTGGGAGCCAAGCAGTTGCCATGGTCCATGCTGGGAGTGCCGACACCCCAGTAAAAGGAGAGAGTGGTGGAGGTAGTGGAGGTGATGTGCTACATCCGCAGGCCAGACCTGAAGGTGACCTCAGCTATAACTATGAACATTCTCCCCCCTACCCCATTGGCCTGATGCCTCCAGACTGGCTGTCTTTTTGTTTGTTTTTTTTTTAGTCAGAGTCCCACCCTGTTGCCCAAGCTAGAGTACTACAATGGCATGCTCACCGCTCACCGCAGTCTCAACCTCCTGGGCTCAGGCGATCCTTCTACCTCAGCCTCCCTAGTAGCTGGAACTATGGATACTTGCCACCCCACCTGGCTAGCTTTTTAAAAATTTTTTGTAGAGACGAGGTCTTGCTATGTTGCCTAGGTTGGTCTTGAACTCCTGGACTCAAGCGATCCTCTTGTCTCAGCATCTGAAAATGCTGGGATTACAGGTGTCAACTGTTATACCCAACTGAGGCCATCGTTATTGGCAGAGCTTGTCAGAGAGTTTCTTCTCCTCTCTTGTTGGAGACAGCAGCTCCATCCAAGGTCTGAGGTTCTTGCTCTGAAGTCTCTCCTCCCTGTGGCGGGCCTGCACTGGGCCATGCATTTTCATGATCCTAACCCTCTGACCTTAAAATAACAAATCCCAGCCGGGCTCGGTAGCTCAGCCTGTAATCCCAGTGCTTTGGGAGGCCGAGGTGAGTGGATTGCCTGAGCCTGCGGGTTCGAGACCCGCCCGGGCAACTTTGTGAGACCTCATCTCTACAATAAATCAAAAATTAGCCGGGTGTGGTAGCACATGCCTGTAATTCCAGCTACTTAGAAGGCTGAGGTGGAAGGATCGCCAGAGCCCAGTGGATCGAGGCTGCGGTGGCCGGGAGTGTACCACTGCACTCCAGTCTGGGCGATGGAGTGAGACTCCAACTCGAACAAAACAAAAAACCAAATCCAGAAGAACACAGAACAATGGACATCTATTTTTATAGATTTCCCCAGAATTGTAAAGATCGGCTTAATTGCAGTAGCAGATTCCATCATTTTCTAGAAGGATATCTTAAATGAGGAGAATTTTCAAGATAGTTGGACTGATGTCTTCCTGACAGGACAAACAGGAAGGTCACTTCGTCATGCTGACAGCATGGCCACCCTCCACAGGTCCTGTAGTGGCCTCTTAGATACACTGTAAGGAGGAGCAGGAGGTCCTAGGGGAGGAAGAAAGGACTTGGCACAGACACTTTCCTGGTGATTTGGGTCAGGTTCCAATCCTGCCCGCCAGGAAGAAACACTAGCCAGGCGCCGCTTGCCCTGGCTACTCACTGGGACTGAACAGGAAGATACAGATAAAAGTTGACCGATAGCTCCTGAACCAAGCCCAGGAGACTAAGTAGGAGTTGGCCAGGTAAGGAGGGGCCACAGGAGCCACGGGTCAAGGGGCTACAGGGTAGGTGCACAGAGAAGTGGCCTGTATGTGCAGTGTCAGCTGATGGACTGAATGAGTCATACTCTCAGCCATTTGTGATTCATCCTGTCCTTCTTATCTCTTTTTTTTAATTAAAAAAAAAATTTTTTTTAGAGGTGTGAAGCTTGCCAGGTTGTCGAGGCTGGTCTTGAACTCCTGGCCTCAAGTGATCCTCCCACCTTAGCCTCCCAATTAGCTGGGGTTACAGGCATGAGCCACTGCACCTGGCCCACCTGGGAGATTATGCAACAACCTCCCATACCCTCTACACTGCCCCTGCCACATCTCAGCTAAGCCTCTACCCTGAATCAATGCCTGCAATAGAATCCAGAGATGTACATTGTAAGATCCCCTCCAACTCTGCCCACCAGAAGGGGGCCCTGGGGTAGGAATCCTGGCCCTGGAGAAAACCAGGTGCTAGCTCAGTAGATATCCACAGGTGAGCATCAATCTATTAAATACAACAAAGCCAACTCCCTGTGACAGCTGGACACACCAGTCCATTCCCTAGAACTGTTAGTGGCTTTAGTTCCCTGGGGGCAAGGGTGTCTCAACAGGAAGCTCAAAATATCCATATGGTCAGAGCTACAAAAGATTAACCAGCGAGTAAGGCTATCTCTGTCCCCGTCCCCGAGTTTTCCAGAAGGCCTGACCTCCCCTTGGGATCTTCTTTCTGGGGCTCTAGCTCAGAGCTGAGCAGAAGAGACCTAGGAAGGGACCAGTCTGGCCTCACGTCAGCCCCATACCCAGGCCCGGCCCACGCCTCACTTTCCCCAACAAAATAAATCTTGCAGCTCCTTCTGAGCATCTCAAATGCACGATCTTCTCCCGATTAACAACCAGAGCTGCGTGTTCTTGGCGGCTGGCTGCCGACCTCAATTTAGAACTGTCTGCTGTTCAGCTGCTGGAGAAGGAAGAACCTAGAGAGGCCAGGAACACTGAAGCCGAGGGGCTTGTGCAGCTGAAGTCTGGGGGGCAGTGGCTGCTGATCCCGTCCAAGGATCTGATTGGCATCTCAGAAGCCTGTGGGAGAGGTTGGGGGCCCCATTGGGCAGGGCTGCTGCTTTGGGATTTTCAAACTGTTTTCTGAGGGGCCCCTGATGAGTGGGGAAGGGGCTGGGGTGGGATGGTGTCTGTAAAACAGGCTCTGTCTTGGTCACTGAACATCATGGTCACAGCAGAAATGACCACATGTGGAGCACCTCTGTGTTGCTGGAAAACGCTCTGGGGATGCTGCTTATTACACTGTGTAAAAACTTGACAAATCCGCTCCAAGCCCAAATTCTGGGAAAGGTTTGTTTCTCCTGCTGCCTGCGTGCCTCCTCCCCTGGCGCGGGAGAACTGTGGGCAGAGCAGCCTCCCGCTCCATCTCCTGCAGGGAGGCACTCGGGCTTTGCTATTTGGTTTTCCTTTACTTCCCATCCTTTACCAGCTTTTGCCCCTCTCAGCTTGCTTTTATTCAACTCCGCCTCTTGGCCTTTGAGAAAACGGCTGGGAGTGTAGGCTCTGGGGTCTCCCAGCCCCAGGTAGGGCTGTAGCTCCACTCCATACCTGCTGAGGGACTGGGGGCTGGTGGCTTGACCTCCCTGACCCTCACACTCTTCTTTGTACGCCAAGGTTCTTACTTTGCCTCGGGGTGTATTAGGAGAGGTGGAGTTGTGTGTGTAAGGTGCACACGGTGAGTGCGTGAGAGGTGGGAGCTGCACCTGTGCACAGGAAGTGTAAGGCACACCTGGGGAGCAAGTGCACAGGAAGTGGGAGCCAATCTGAATGGGTGAATGCACGGGCACACAGGTGGGATTGAGGCAACCTCAGTGACCTGTCACTCACTCCCCTTGTTTCCCCTGTAGGAGGACAGTCAGTAACCCATAATGGCCTCCCCATCATGGTCTCCCTGGCCAACACAGCCATCTCCTTCAGCTGCAAGATCACCTACCCATACACCCCAGAGTTCAAGGACCTCACAGTCAGCTACTTTCACGAGAATCTCCAGGGCCAGAGGAGTTCTAAGAAGATGCTCGACTGCCCACCTGGCCAGGGTGTAGAGAACCAGACCCACACCTTTCTGTGTGTCATCACCTTCACACCGCCAGGTGCATCGGCCACTGGCACCTACTACTGCAGCATATGTTGGTCACAATCCACGGTGAACGGCGAGGGTACCTTCATCCTGGTCAGAGGTGAGGCTTCCTCTGCGGCTCTTCCCAGGGTTAAGGACCCGGACGTTTCAACTGGCAGAGTCTGGGTCACAGGATCCAACGTGGAGACTGTTTGCCTTGTCTTCCAGCTTTGGCAAAGCAGGACAGAGCGTCCTCAGGGACCCTCTGCCGGTGGCTGTGCCAAGGCTCCACCTGTGTGTGGGAGGGGCAGAGGCCTGGTGTGTGGATCCTCCCCTAGCCACCACTGTAGGTGACCTGAGACAGCTCACCTGGCCCCTTGGCCTCAGTGTCCCATTGGCACGAGGTGGAGGGGGGTTGGGTTGAGCCTCTGCAGAATTAGACATGTGCACGTATGTATTTGTGGGGGCCTCATGTACGCAAGCACTCGGCTCGTGAATGTCTTTCTGGAGACAGAATTTTAGTGAACCCCAGAGTTAAGAAGGAATCCATCGCCAAAGCCATGGTTCTCTGACCTGCCTCTGCCATCCCCACCGGAAAAGGCTGGGGCTTCAGAATCTCAGTCCTACGGCCTGCGAGGCTGTGACCTGGGCCTGGTCTTCATGGCCACACTCTGCCTTTCCAGGGCTTTTATGAGGATGAACAAGATTGTGCGTTTAAGGGCTGGTATCCGGCAATAGGCGGTGCTGGGTAAACACCACTCATGTGCCTGTCACATGGTGGGCACTCCACACGTTTTTGCCAGCCAGAGGGATGGGGTGGGGAAGGGAGGAGCAGCAGATGATGAAGGGATGGCTCAGGAGAAGGCGGAGGGCTTTGTCCTCCCTTCCCCTGGGATAGCCCCTCCTCTCCTCGGCCCCAGTGCAAACCCTGTCTCCTTCTGTCCTTACCACACTCATCCATGCGACCACCATTTCACAGAGGGAAAAGAAGACACCCAAGCAGTGAAACGACCCACCTAGGGTCACTGAGGCAGAGACGCCAAAGGAGCCCTGTCTTAAAGAGAGTCAAGCAGTGAATAAAAAAACGAGGCTTAGTAGAGCAAGCGGAATGATGCAGACCCAGGACGGGGCTCCGGGAGGTCCAGTGGGGTGGGGTTTGTGGGGAAGTGTTTCAGTGGGGTCCTGGGGGAAGGAGAACATGGTGGTTTAGGGGCCTGGGGCTGGAGGGGTGGGGTATGACCCAGTTCCCCTGGGCGACTGACGCCTCTGCTCCCTGCCCCTCCTCCTAGACACGGGGTACCGAGAGCCCCCACAGAACCCGCAGAAGTCCCTGCTCGTTGGCTTCACTGGCTTCTTGGCTGTCCTGAGTGTCCTGGGCACAGCTTTACTGCTCTGGAAGAAGGTATGGGATGAACATGTGCCCTGATGGAACGCCTTCCAGGGGCAGCAGGGCTGCCCTCCCTCCCTGCACAGGGCATCCTGGTGGGCCCTGGTGGGGTGCATCCATGCCTGGGATGAGAGGACCCCTCCTGTGCCTCTCTGCGACTGGGTCTGCACCTCTAACTCGTTGCCACCAGGCCCCTTTTGGTTGTGTTGCAAGAAACCAAGTCTCTTCAGTCCTTCTGAAAATATGATGGAGGCCACAGGCCTCAGACTTACCATTTCAAACCCCCTCCCCCCCAGATTAAGAACTGCTGCCTGGATTTTCTTGATCCCAGCAAAGGAAAGAAGAGTTTAGGAACCACCGTGCACCAGCATCCTGATGTGTGTGAGCTCACCTGTGCACCGTCTTAGCTCTGTGAGGAGATTTCTTCCTATTTTAAGCTCTGGACATTGAGGCTCAGAGAGGTTGTGACTTGCCTAAAGTCACACAGCAAGCGTGGGCAGAGTCAGGGCTGGAATAAAAATGGGTGGGGGAGCTCAGTCCAGCCCTTCACCTGACAGCTCCCACTCATGCTATGGATGGCATCTCCCTGCGGAGGGGGGTATCCCCCTGGGGCTTCCCTCATGCCTGCCATCACCCAGCCCTGTGGCTTCTTCTTTGATACCTGCTTGCCCTCCCTGCCAGGCAGCAGGTGTCAGGAAGGCAGAGACCGAGGCAGTCTTGTTCACATGGCTCCGTGCCCAGCACACGGTGGGTGCTCAGTCCGCGTGTGTTGAGTGAAAGGATGCTGTACTCAGTGAGCACCAGGTTCTCTGCCAGGCTCTGGGATGCACAGATGGCTGGTTAGGGCTCCAGGCTGTGGCTCAGACCCTTGGTCCTGGTACCTCAGAGGGTGCAATCAGCAGTTCAGGCCACATTGCTTTACCCTCTGGGGGACATTTGGGGCCAAGCCTAGGAACAGCTCAGTCAGTGATGGCACTGGGTGGGAGGGGAGGGCACCGACACCACCACTAGGGTCTCCCTGGGTCAAGGAATGCTCAACCCCTGCACCCAAAGGGCCAGACCCTGTCCACACCTAGAGAAGGCCCTCTTAGTTAGGAATTCATGTTCAGTCTTCCATTCAACAAATATTGAGCACTTACAATGCTCCTGGCCCTGTTCTAGGTACTGGGGATACAGCAATGACTGATAACATCTCTGCCTTTATCAAATTTATAATCTGAGCCGGGCTCGGTGGCTCAGCCTGTAATCCCAGCGCTTTGGGAGGCTGAGGTGAGTGGATTGCCTGAGCCCGCGGGTTCGAGACCCGCCTGGGCAACTTGGCGAGACCTCATCTCTACAAGAAATCAAAAATCAGCCGGGCGTGGCAGCGCATGCCTGTAGTTCCAGCTACTTGGAAGGCTGAGGCGGAAGGATCACCAGAGCCCAGCAGGTCGAGGTTGTGGTGACCGGGAGCGGCCACTGCACTCCAGTCTGGGTTACAGAGTGAGACTCCAACTCAAAAAAAAAAAAAAAAGAATTTATAATCTGGTTGAGGGGAGACAAATTATAAACCACCAAGTGAATAGGTAATGTATATCAGATGGGATAAGTGTTAGGAAGAAACCCAGCAAAGTGAGGAGGGAATGAGTGTGGGAATGGGGGTGCTTATACCCACATAGCACCCAGAATGAAGGGAAGCAAGCAGGAGGCAGATGGACTTTAGGGACAAGCATGTCCAGTAGGGAACAGCAGGTACAGGTGCTCTGAGGCAGGAGCAGGGTTAGCATGTTCTAGGAGCTAACAGGGGCCCATGTGGCTGGTATGACCTGAGCTCACAGAGAGCAGAGGAAGGAAGGGTAAGAGGATATGAGGCTGGGGTTTGGGACGTTGAAAGAATTTTAGCTCTTACCCTAGGTGATATGAGGGAGGGGGACAGGATCACACTTAGATTCTGATGGAATAGAATCCAGGCAGAGGTGATAGGGGCTGGCACCAAGATGGCCATAATAGAGCGGTGAGTGAGGTGGGTGAAAGGCTGCAGGTGGACCCAAGGGGGTGCTGCCAGAGTTCGTTGCTTACAGGTTTGCTCGGCTCCCTTGTAGGGTGGGGGTAGGGAGTCTGAGGGTGTCTAGAGCAGGGCAAGTATTCCGAGAACTATGACCTGGAAGGTTGGATAAGGAAGCCAAAGATCCAAGCTTACCTGACCCATGGTCGGCACATGCAGGCCTAGGACTCAAACCCAGGCCTCAGTTTCCCGCCCTTGTCTTAAGGCTGGAGATGTCATTGATCTTCTAGAAAAGGCTTGAGGTGCTAGAAGAATGAGAACTTGCTCCCCTTAACCCCTGAGAGCCTCAGGGACAGCGTTTCCTGCCTTCTGGGTAAGGGCCTCAGCCATGATGCTGGCTCCTCTCCTGTCCTGCTGGTGAGACTCTGGCACGACTCGTCCTGATCTGGCCTTTCCTTGCTGATGAGTGCAGGGTGAAGTGAGCCCACAGGCTCTGGGTGCCACTGTGGAGTCCTGAGGGCCCTGTCTCTCCCCTGCCTCCAGCCCAGCCACAGGAATGAGCTGAGCAGGAAAGGCCCAAGACGGACAGGAAGCACAAACCTCAGTCTCTGCAAATCCAGGGTTAGGACAGAGACCTGCTGGCTGCTGCGTTACCTCCCTTCCCTACCCAGCACGGATGTGCGCAGCCACATGTCAAGCCTGCGCCTTTCTTTCATACCCCCAGCTTCCGCCCTCAGTTTCTGCTCCCATCCTTTCTTTTGCTTTTCCCGGACAATAGCTCAGCCTCCACTACGAGGTCTCCTGAGTAGGTCGGGATTCCAACAGCCTCCTGCTGGAAATGGGGCAGGGTGGAGTGCAGGTGTGGACAGGAAAATGGGGCTTCCAGCACAGGAGACAAGGGACTCACCCTACCCGTGGACCCCCACCCAGGCTTATGTGGTGACCCATAAAAGTGCCCTCCGTGGGCCTGAAACATAGCAGGTGAGGGGCAGAGCGGGGCCAGGTGAGATCTTGATCCTGAGCCCTCTCCCTTGCTGAGGGGCCCCATCTCCTGCTCTACAAAAACAAGACTGTTTCCTTGTTTTATCATTATAAAATAAAGTATTTTGCTAGTAAAAACAAAAACAAAATGGAACTGGGTCGCAGTGTCAGTGAAGGAGCAGCCAAGGCTTGGAGTCATAGGCTTGCCAGGTCCCCACGCCCTGGACAGCTTCAGGGCCTCCTGCCTTCCTCCTCCTCCTCTTCCTCACTCCTTCCTACCTGTCCTTCCAGGAATGTCTGTTGAGTGCCTAGCATGTGCCAGGCACTAGGCTAAGTGTCAGACAGCATGAAAGCAAGCCCCTCTTGTTAAGGTTTGAGCCTCTCTCTGAGTCTCAGTTTCCTCCTCCGGAAATGGGAATAAGGATAGCCCCCCACCGCCCACTTTTGAGGCACGGCCGGTGCTTGAGAGTAGGAGTTTCCCATGAACCCACGCGTGGAGGATGCGCTGATGTGAGAGCCTGGGCCTGAAGGGAGAGAGAGCCCAGGAGCATCTGCAGTGGCAGTGGATGAATGTGTCAAAGCTGAAGACGCCTGACTCCAGGCGACAGAGGCCCAGACCCACGGTTGGTGGCTTAGGGGCAGTGAAGAGCGCCAGCGGAGGCTCTGCTGGGTCGAATCTGGATGACGTTGCCAGGGCCAGTGCCAACCCTGATGCCTGCAAGGGCAGGGCAGGGGGAGCTCTGAATTCATGCCCCTGGGGACACTGGGAGCTGGAGAGTGACAAGAAGACTCAGGGGTCTGCCGGGAGGGGCTGGAGTAGCAGGGCTGGCAGACAGGAGCCCTGGATGACCACAGGCGGCATAGTCAGTGCTATGTCGTGGGGTTGTGAAATGTGTGGAGGAGCTGGTGTGGGTGTGAGGCACTTTGAGCACCAGGACAGATCGCCTTCTTGAGAAAGCAGCGATGACCATGAGAGCGGGTTTAGGGCCCTTGCCTGGCTTGGGGGTCAAGTTGGTCTTCTCAGAGCAGGCGCTCTCTGATGCTGTTTCTGTCTTCTCATAACATCAGGTGTGGCCGACTTTCCTCCTCCACAGCACAACACACTCCTTCCCTTGGCTCCAGGACCCCTTGTGGCTCCGTCCCACCCCATGGGCTGCTTTGCTAGGTTACCTTCCTCTTCGTGGCCTCTAAACATTGGCACACCCTGGTTCCTTCCTCAGAGGCCTTCTGGGCTCTGTGCTCCCAGTGATCTCTCTGCATTGGGGGGCTACATTTCCATCCACAGAGGATGCTACCTAGAACCCCTCTCCCAAGCTCCAGACCACAGCCCACAGCATGCACGACAGCTCGGTGTGGGCCTACGAACATCTCCACCTACCCGTCCAAAAACAACAGTCACCAGTCCCTCAGGTCTCCAGGGCCTCAGCAAATGGCACCATCTGCCCAGATGCTCAAGGCTCAAACTCCAAGGCCTGAACTCTTGAACTTGTGCATGGCACTCCTCTCTTACCCCCACATCTGTCCCCTCAGCAAGCCCTGTGCCCAGTCTCTCTAGGATCCAGCCTCTTCCCCCGTGCCCCACATCCCTGGCTCAGGGCTCTGTCATCCTCTCATGGTTTCTGCATTCACACATGCCTCCCCTCACTGCTGCTGGCACCCCAGCTTCTGTGTTTATGCTGTCTCCCCCACCTAAGTGCAGCCCCTGCAGGGCAGGGACTTGGTGTCCTCAGTGCCTAGGGGAGCCTGGCAGACAGTAGGTACTTGTGGAGGGAGTGATGGAAGAAATGCTCTCTGGGGCCTGGAAGATGCATGGGAGCTACCAGGGTGTGAGGTGAGCAAGGTGACATTATTGCTCCCATTTTACAGAGGAGGAAGCTGAGACTCAACAGGCTTTCTGAGCTGCTGACGGTATCACCCTTCAGGTGCAGAGCTGGGTCTCGGCCCAGATCTGGTGACTCCCCCCACTTCCCACCGCCTACTAGTGAGAGGAGGCTTGGGCAACTGAGGACTGAGCATGGTAGGAGAAGCCACTGGTTATTCATTTGAAAGTCGCAATTGACATGGCAAATGTTGACCGCCTGGACAGGGTGCTCAGACAGGTGAGGCTGGTTCAAAGAGCAGGGCCTCCCCAGCCCTCGACACCAAAAAACATTCATCTGAGTTTTCAAGGGAGGCTCCTTCCCTGCTCCATGGTACCCCTCAGCCCAGCCTAGGCCTCCTTGGCTCCCCCTGAAAGGCAAGTCCTGTCTCCTCCCTCTGCCAGACCTCCAGTCCACCCTGCATCTGTGACATCAGAGGGAGCCTTATGAAATGCAAATGCAAACACATCCCCGCACTAGTGGCACTCTAGTGCCACTGCCCTCACTGCCCTCAGAGTAAAGCCCCCACTGCCCTCAGAGTAAAGCCACATGGCACTCAGCTTTTTGTGGTCCTGCCTGTACCTGCTTCTGGCTCATCTCTTTTTCTTTTCACGACACTCTCCACCCTTCGGCATTGCATGTCCCTGACACATTGTGAACCTCCTGCCCCAACCTGTTCCATGCACGGCTCCTGATGATATGGGATACTTGGATGCGGAGAGCTTGTACACGCCTCCCCTGTCTTCAAGAGACAGCACAAGGCAAGCCCAAGAAGTCTGCTCCAGCCTCCTGCAGACTTGGAGCTCCTTCCTGAGGCCCCACAGGGGCACTCGTGACCCCACCAGACTCACTAGGGGAGCCATGAGACCAGGTCTGGGTCTTGCTCATTGCAGGGCCCTCAGCAGCCCAGCCCAGGCCCAGCACAGAGAAGGGTGACAGGTACCTGCAGCTCCAGGGATTGTGTTTTCCAGTTCCAGTGGGTCCAAAGAGCTGACCCCAGATCAGCCTCCCAGGAGAGCCACTGTCATGAGCTCACATCCTTCAGCCATGGCGGTGTCTAGGTCAGCTAGCTCAGGGAGGGGACAGGCACTAGAACCCTGGCTCTCTTGACAAGAGAAAGCACTGAGGGGATCACAGCCTTTGCTGTGATGGTGCCTGAAGAAGCAGGTAGTGAAGGGAAGGTGGACCTGGATTTGAGGATCTGGGTTCCATCCAAGGCAGCCATTTACTAACTGGACAAGCCTCAGTTTCCCTCTCTGTCAAATGGACAATTCCACGCTCCCTTCTCAAGCTATTATGAGCATTAAATGAAAATAAGGGCAAGTCTCGGGGTCTTTGCAAACTGTAAAGTGCTACACAGACACCAGCGCCTCTCTGTGAGACCTACACATTCTAACAAAACAGAGGAACAAAAACTCCTGCTATTGTCTGGCCAGGATCTTGATGAAACACAGACCTGGGTTCCAATCCTGCCTCTGCCACTTCCCGGCTGTGTGCCACTTCTCGGCAAGTCACCTGCCCTCTCTGAGCCTTCACTTCCTCGTGTGCAGAACAGAGACGATATGCAGACTTGCCCACAGGTCTGTGGAGGGACGCATGAGATAAGGCAGGTCAGGTGTTGGAGTCCTACCTGGCTCCAAGTTCTTAGCTATTGTCGTGCTGTGACTGGGGGCGGTGCCGGCTTCTGCCTGAGAGTTAAGTAGCTCTCAAGAGCTAATCCCGGAGTAAATGGGCCGGGGATTGGCAGGCGGCCAGGGTTTTTAATTATCTCCTGCCCTGAGATGAGGCTGCTGTTGCTCCACTGTTGGCAGTGTGGTGCCTGCGATGAGGGGGGACGTCTGGACCGCCTCCCTCTGCCTTGGAAGGAGCCACCCGTGCCGCCTCCTGATTGTCGCCCAGCCTTTCACCCTCCCACAGGTCTGCCCTGGCCTCTGACGACCATTAGTGCTTTGCACCGCAGCCAATGTGAGCTTTCTAAAACAGAGCTCTGACCCTGGCGCCTCCCACTGGAAGCCCTCAGGTGTTTCCTACCATCCACACCCTTCATGTGGCCCTGTAAGGCCGTCCTGGCCCACACTGGGCAGGCTCACCTCTCTGGCCATGCTCACATTCAAGTGCCTGAGACTTCCAGACCCTGGCATCCGCTGTTCCCTCTGCCTGGAGCTCCCTCCTCCCTCTCTTGCTAAATGAACTTCTCAGCCTTCAGATTTTGCTGTCAACACCACTTCCTGCCTGATGGGGCATTGGTTTCCTCCTGGTGTCTGGATGCTCTGTGTCTGCCAATCAGCCTCCGTCTCTCCACTGACCCTAAACTCCAGGAGGGCAGAGACGGGGTCCACCTCTTCATGCCTGGCTAACAGGTGGTTGACAAGTGTGTTGGTTGATCAAGGGCCTCCTCACTGCACCGGGGTTCCAAGAACCCAACCCCACCCCTCTATGCCCTTCTCAGATCCTTGCAACAGTCCCACAAAGGAGGTTTATTGCTGAGGAAACTGAGATCCAGAGAGTGGCCACAGCTTGCTCAGAGTCAGAGGCAGTGAGGGCAGAGAGGGACTGACACTGGGCTTCCTGCCCACAGCAGGCGGCTCCATGGCTGGGGTTCTGCCCTACTAGCACTGGGTCCTGCGCTTCTGCCCCTGAGCCAGGTGCTCTGTCCATGGACAGTGCTTTGTGTGGGTCTTTCCATCGCCTGGCTCTCCAGGTGTGTGAGTAATTTGATGCGGGCTTGGAGGCATTTGCCATATCTCCCTGGAGAGTGGGGGTGGAAGGTGCTGAGTGATTGATTTCTGTGTGGCCTCACGACAATCTGCTGTCCTTGGCCCTGGTGGGGGTCTCTGAGGGGAGGAAGATGGGAGCCACTCATCCCCAGCCCCGACTCCTTTCTCCCTACAGAAACAGATGCAGGCTCCTGGGAAGCACCCCACCGAGAAGTGCCCAGACCCAAGATCTGCCAGCAACCCTAAGCAGCCTCCAACAGAATCCGTGTACACGGTGAGTCCTGGGGCCTGGACTCACTCGACCTCTCTCAGGTCTCATGCAGGGTCTGAGTCCCTGGCTTGGTCTTCCACCAGCTGTGTGACCTCCCTGAACCTCAAGTTCCTCATCTGTAAAATGGGGGTCATAATTCCTACCTGCGGAATCTCTATGACGGTGAAAAGAGGTTGTATGTGCGGGGCCCCTGGAGGGCATTCAGATGTCAGATCCCACGCCCATTCCCACCTTGGCACGGCCCTTCAGTTCCAGAGCAAGGGGTAGTAAGGGCACGAGTTGGTGAGAAATGAAGAAGTGACGGTGACCAGCTCACCAACTTCCTCTTGTTTTTATTGCACAAACAGCATTGCAGCAAAAACAAAAATCACAGAAAGAGGAAAAGGTCAAGCAACATCTTATACCCTTAACACATCAGTGATTTTCAATTGTTCGCTCCCTCCCTCCCCATCACACACGTTTTATGTCGTTACAGTCACAGGGAGACACGGGCTGGAACCCTGTTTGTCCAGCACCCTGCAGTGTCGTAAGCATTTTCCTCAACAGTCTTTATCATACTGTAAGGGGTGGCCGGAGGACGAGGGGCTGAGGAGGCTCAGCTGCCCTCGCCCACCCCACCCACCCACCACAGCCAGCACACAGTCTCGCTGCCCAGTGGCTGGGGCCGAGGAGGGCAAGGAACTACTGTTTTTCGATCATGTTGCTTTTAGTTCCACAAGTAACATATGCTCAGTGGAGAGAAAGTGAGGAACAAATGCCACCGAGTGTCAGCTGAGGTCTCAGGGCCGTGGGATCCGAAGCCACCGAGTGGACTTTCCCACTCCACACCTGGGAGGGGCACAGCCCTGCAGGGGCCCTGCAGGTTCCTCAGGCCACGTTCACGGGCTGCCTTGGTACCAGGAATGTGCCTGATTGTGCTGCTGCTGTTCCCTTTCCCACCCCCCTTGACTTGCATGTGAAACTCGAGTCCTTCCTCCAACACAACGGCACCCGACACAGGGGACGTCCAGAGTGTGGCCATGTCTGCTGAGGAGGAGGCAGGCAGCAGCGAGGCTCAGGGAACGTCCCAGCGGGCAGCACCCACAGCACCAAGTGAAACATGATGGTTCTCTAAGGGCCTTCAGCTGCTCCACCCCAGGGAGTTTCTACCAGCCGCAGCTTCCCACGTGGCCTCAGACTTCCCATATTCTCTCTTCTCTCCCAGCATCTCAGCATCTCATGATGGTGTTTTCCTTATGTGGAGTTCTAGTGTCAGCTGTTAGATGAAAACATTTCTTTCTCGCTTGCTCTCTTCCTCCCTCCCTCTCTCTCTTCACACACACATACGCTACACACACACACACACACACACACACACACGATGAATATATATACACACATATAAATGAAGAAAATAGCCAGCATGCTAATCCCATCTTCTTCCAAGATAAATACTAGCATTGACTTTCCAGTCTTTTTTCTATAAGTATATACAAAGAGACTCATCCACACATACTTTTTAAAAAATTGTAGTACAGTTACTTTTTCATGAACATATTTCTGAACAAATATATTTTATGAGATTACTATTATTATTATTACTGTTATTATTATTGAATAGGAGTGTCACTCTGTCACCCAGACTGGAGTGCAGCGACAAAATCGTGGCTCACCGCAGCCTCAAACTTCTGGGCTCAGTCGATCCTCCTGCCTCAGCCTCCCAAGGAGCTGGGACTACAGGCACATGCCATTATGCCCAACTAATTTTTTGAATTCTTTTTTGTAGAGATAAGGTCTTACAATGTTGCCCAGGCTAGTCTCAAGCTCCTGGGTTTCAACAATCCTTCCGCCTCAGCCTCAGTGCTGAGATTACCGGTATGAGCCACTGTGCCCGGCTCTAAGAGATTTTTTTTTTTGAGTTGGAGTCTTACTCCGTTGTCCAGACTGGAGTGCAGTGGAATGCTCCTGGCCACTGCAGCCTCGACCTGCTGAGCTCCAGCGAAACTTCCGCCTCAGCCCTCCAAGCAGCTGGAACTACAGGTGTGCGCTACCACGTCCGGCTAATTTTTGATTTATTATAGAGATGAAGTCTTGCCAAGTTGCCCAAACGGGTCTTGAACTGGTGGGCTCAGGCAATCCACTCACCTTGGCCTCCCAAAGTACAGGATTATAGACGTGAGCCACCGAGCCTGGCCTAAGAGGCTTTTTTTTTTTTTTTTGAGTTGGAGTCTCACTCGGTCGCCCAGACTGGAGTGCAGTGGCCGCTCCCGGCCACCGTGGCCTCGACCTGCTGGGCTCCGGCGATCCTTCTGCCTCAGCCTTCCGAGTAGCCGGAATTACAGGCATGCACTACCACACCCGGTTGATTTTTTGACTTATTGTAGAGATGAGGTCTCGCCTGCCCAGGCGGGTCTCGAACCCGCGGGCTCAGGCAATCCACTCACCTCAGCCTCCCAAAGGCGCGGGATTACAGGCTGAGCCACCGAGCCCAGCTAGAGATTATTTTTCATGGAAACGCTGTTCTGAATGCAGTCGCTTTCTCGCCTGTGTTTAGAATCCTCTGAGACTCAGGCTGACTTCTCTGGAGTGTGGTGAAGAGGCCCAACAGCCTGCAGGGTTGTGAGGCAGCTTGTAGAGGGTGCAGGACCACAGAGGAGATGTGATGGGAGGCCACAGGGCTTTGCTAACCCTTGTGACAAGGGTCTACCAGCTGGGGTTGGACCAGGACAGAGAAGAATGACATTAACAATAATGATAATGTCAGAGCCATTTGCTGTGCACCTACTGTGTGCCAGGCATTGTGGTAGCACTTTATACCCATTATCTCATTAATCCTCCTGATGAAGCTTAAGGGTACAGGTGTTGTCCTCATTTTCATTTTATTTTCTCATTCTCGACTGCTGGTATGTAGAAATATGATTGATTTTTGTATTTAGGCTTTATATAGAGAGTGACCTTGCTGAATTCACTCATTAATTCTGATCGTTTCTCTACAAGTTCCTTCAGACTTTCTATGAACCCAGTCATGTCATCTATTAATAATGCAAGTTCCACTTCTTCCTTTCCAATCCTCATACCTTCTATCTCTTTCTTGTTTGCTTTATTGCACTGTCCATGTCCTTCAATATTCCTATTCACTGGAGTAAATAGGAGCGGTGACAGTGGTATCCTTGTCTTGTTCTCAACCTCTGGAGATCTGGGGAAGGTATTTTTGTTGTTTTTGTGGGGTTTTGTTTTTTTTTTTGAGTCAGGGTCTTATTCTATTGTCCAAACTGGAGTGCAATGGCGTGATCACGGCTCACCACAGCCTCAAACTCCTGGGCTCAGGTAATACATCTGCCTTAGCCTCCTGAGTAGCTGGGACTACAGGCACATGACCCCGTGCTTGGCTAAATTTTTTTTTTTGTAGAGATTGGGGTCTGTTATGTTGCCTAAGCTGTTCTACACCTCCTGGACTCAAGCAGTTTTCCTACTCAGACTCCCAAAGTGCTGGGATTACAGGCATGAGCCACTGTGTTCAGTCTAGGGGAAAGTTTCTTTTTCTTTTTTTTTGAGTCAGGGTCTCACAGTGTCACCTAGGCTGGAGTGCAGTGGCACGATCATGACTCACCATAGCCTCAATCTCCTGGGTTCAGATAATCTTCTCACCTCAGTCTCCTGAGTAGCTGGGACTACAGGTTCATGCTACCATGTCTGACTTTTTTTGTAGCGATGAAGTCTTGTTATATTGTCCAGACTGGTCTCTAACACTTGCACTCAAGCAATCCTCCCACCTCAGCCACTCAAAGTGCTGGGATCACAGGTGTCAGCCACTATGTTCAGCTTCTTTTCTTCTAATTTGCTCATTTAAAGCTATGAACTTCCCTTTAAGTATGCCTTTAGCTGCATCCCACAAGTTTTGGTATGTCATACTTTCATTATCTTTCTGTTTAAAATTTTCATTGAGAATTCCTCCTTGCCCTATGGATTATTTAAACATGATTTGCTTAATTTTCTGATGTTTAATTATTTTCTGGCTATGTTCTTTTTTTATTGGTAGCTAATTCCACTGTAATCAGAGAATATATCCTGCATAATTTTAATCCTTTCATATCTTTTGAGACTTGCTATATGGCTTAGTTTATATTCTATGTGCACTTGAAAAAAACTTATTGTGTTGAATGAGTGTTCTATATATACAATAGGTCAAGTTTGTTGATCATGTTGATAAAATATTCCATATCCTTATTGATCTATATTGACTATTTATTTACTTATTTATTTTCTGAGACAGAGTCTCACTCTGTCATCCAGGTTGGGATGCAGTCTTTAACTTAAGTGGATAAGCTTGCTGCAGTCTCGAACTCCTGGACTCAAGCAGTCCTCCCACCTCAGCCTCCCAAGTAGGCTGGGACTACAGGCACACACTTCCATGTCCAGCTAATTTTTGTCGGGGTTTTTGCTTTTTGTAGAGATGAGGTCTCCATGTTACCCAGGCTGGTCTCAAACTCCTGGCCTCAAATGATCCTCCTGCCTTAGCCTCCCAAAGTGCTAGAATTACAGACGTGAACCACCACACCTAGCCTGATATTTTAAATTAATTTTTAATGGGGTCTCATATGTTGTCCCGGCTGGTCTTGAGTTTCTGGGTTCAAGTGCTCCTCCTGCCTTAGCTGGAACTACAGGTGTGAGCCTGTGTGCTTCGCTTGTGTGGAGTTTTAGGGGCCTGTTTTATCAGTTGTGAAAGGAAGTGAGTTAAAAATCTGCTAGTATGATTACGGATTTGTTTATTTCTCCATTTAACTATGTCAATTTTTGCTTTTTATTCATGTGGAAAAGTGCACCTGATATACTAGGACATTAAAAAAAGCTGTACTGTTTCAATTTGTTTCTAAAAACTTGACCTATTAAGAGCATGGATTTGAGATGGGTCAAAAAGACTGGTGATCTGAGCTTTGTTCTTTGGCTCACTTAAACTTTCTGAGTCTTGGTTCCATAATCTGCACAACAGGGTTAATGACACAACATTGCATTTATAGCTTTCA